TTTGTTAGGGGGACCAACTATCGATCCAGTTTTGTCTGACACTGAGAGGTTTCCTGGACTATGGGATTCCCAGCACTACAAGGAGGAAAGCCCCAGAGAAGACTTACTACAATTCGAGGCACAGTGGGAGCTTCAAAGTAATGTGCAGAAATTGCTATGGAGACCTGAGTGAGGAAATAACCAATTCTGACTAAGACAATAGGAGAAAGGTTAAAATATGCACATTTGAGTAGGAACTCAGCAAACAAACAAAACAGCATCTGCAAAGTGTTAGAGGTAAAAAAGTACATGAAAACATTCAGGAAGTACCGATCAGGAAGATTATGGGTGAGTATTATGAACTCAGGAGAAATGGGGCTGGAAATGAGACCATGAAAATTAGTGATGATGCTCTGGAAGCAGTAATTCTCTAGCACCTGCTCGTTGTGATCCATTCTTTGTACTAGAAACAGGTGACCTGTTCGGAGCTGTTGGAATAGATTAGGAGAGTGCACAGGGCCTGCGCTGAGAACTAAGCCAGTGTTGATGGAACAGAAAGGAGACAGTAGTTCAGGGATGTTCTGAAAACACAATTAGTAGGACTAAATGATTGTATCATTGTGGCGACGATGGAAGAAGAGAAGAACATTTTTGTGGATCCCACAAGCCCCATGATTGTGATGGTGGTATTAAAGGAATCTGGGAACACTGCAGTAAGAATACTTTTTGGTGAGAGAGCCAAGATAATGAATTCCGTTTTGAATATTTGAGTTTAGGGGCCTGACCTGGTATCTGCGGCTCTGAAGCAAACCAGCCTAAAACCTAGTGCCTTAAAACAAGGATGTATTACTCTCCCCCAAGGGCGCATGTGGTCTGGGATCCGCTGGCACTGCCTGTTTAGGATCTCTCGTGCTGCACTGCGACAGCAGGGGCTCCGGCCAAAGGCTGGCTGGTGGGCTTCCCCCATGAGGTGGTCTCAGGGAGGATGCACTTCCCTTGCGGGGGCTTGCCTCTCAGGGGCCACAGCACAGGCAGCCAGGCCCCTTGAAGGCCAGGTCCGGAATTGGCCTCACATTACTTGCACAGAACTACTTCTTTATACTTAATAGACAAAGTGGTTACAGGCTAGCCCAGGGGGTAGAAAAGAGGCAACACACCTCATCGATGGGATGTCAAGAGAGGTGCACTGTCTCTACTCTGCCACGTGCTCATCAGACATATATGTGAACATGTGTTGGGGAACAACAGTGAACCTTCCTTATCTGACTCTCGAGAAATAAATCAGAATTAGAAATGTGACTGGAGTTTTCTAGGGAAAAGTTAGCAGTCAGAACCATAGAAATGGTAAAGAAGAACAGGGGGTTGAGAATGGGAAAAGGATCCCATTTAGCAGAAGCCAACAGAGTATACCGACAGTCAGTAATTAGGGGCCCAGAGGACACATGCTGCCTGGAAACGTGCAGAAACAGACTGGAGAGGTACGGGAGGGGCGGGTTAGGGGGCCAGTGAGACCAGAGAGCGTTTCCAGGAGGCTGTCTCAGTAGCAGAGGAAGGAGAGATGAGGAAGATGTGGGTAGAGATGAGCTACAGTGCCCTCTAGTGGAGGCGCTGGCCCCCGCGGAGGGGCAGGGGGCTGTCCTCAAGAGTTTTGCTTCTCTGTTGGCAGGGGCTGGGGGACAAGGGCGCCAGTTGAAAGGAATGAAGACAGGAGGGGGGCTAATGGTTTGGGTGTCTGGGCTCTGAAAGGAGTGGATGTAGCATTGATGAGACAGGAGGAGACACTGAGGTATTGGGGATGAGGTGGAGGGGAGGGAGCACTCTGCATGCCCAGTGAAGACAGAAAGAAGCCATCTATGCTAGAATCACGAATTCTTCCTCCTCATAACAGCTGTGGGACATTCTTCCATGGTGGTTATGGGTACACAAAACTGAAGGCAGTTCAGAGGACTGGAGATGAGAAACAATGAAGGGATTACAAAAGCCAAGTTTTGTTTCTCTGTTTGCCTTATCATTTATCTTCATTATTACAGTTTCAATTGTGGATTATCAAATGGAAGTAGAACTAAAATAATTAAAGAGAGATGTAATAAAGAAAAACAGTTTCAAGCAGGAGGGGACAGTCACATGCTCATCGACTTTTGGCGAAACATCTGAAAAAATAAAGGACTACCTATATTAAATCATGATGAAATCTTTTTATCTTGTGATATGCAGGTGGTATTAGACTATCTTTTTCCATCTTCTTTTATTCATGTTAATTTCTGCTTTAGAAAAACTGGTTAAGGGGAATGTATAACAATTTGAATATTATATTTTTGTATACATATACAGAGTTTTCAGGTTAATACTTTTCCTTCATAGAGACACAAATTCTTTGACAGAAAAGTAGTATGAATTACGTGCTATTTTGTCCTAACTTAGTAAACTAAGTCAAAGACTATGATGAAAGTGAAGTAGACCAGGCTATTGTAACACAGGCTGATAAGAGTCATATATACCAGGGACGAAACATGCCTCCTGGTACCAAGAGAACATGGATAGGAGGCTGGGTAGTTCTTGGCCTGTAAAAGCAAGAGTTTAATTTTTGTGTCTTCCTCATGCTTTTCCTCAATAAAATAAGAAAGGAAAGATGCATGAGCAATGGAGTTTACCCATATTTTACTTTCCCACAACTAACACATAAACTCTTTGAAGAGAGGAAATGTATCTTCCATTCTGTGTCACTCTGCCTGGCATGTAAGCTCGACAGGATGAAGGGTGATTAAATGAATGAATAAATGAAGCATGGGTATTGAAATCAGCTTTATTTGAATATAACCTGAAAAATTATAAAGCAAAAATATGAATCAGGATGTGGGTTTACAGTGAATATAATATATGTAAATATCCATCCCAGACAATGTATTTACATAGTAATTGTGCAAGCACAGAAACTTACACACAAATAGATGGGTGGCTGGGCCATCCCAGCTTCTGAAATAGAAGTCAGAAAATGTTGCTAAATGTATATAAAATATTTCCAGTATTCACTGGTAGAAAAAATAGAAACTAAAAATTGTGATATATTTCAGATGAATCTTTGCTATAAAGCAGATAATTTTTAGTGAAGATGGCTTTTAATGAATAAAGGCTCATGCACTACATGACACTGTACAGGCTAATGACTCAGCACCCTTCTCTCCTCTCACCTTGCTTTAGAAAAAGCAATGAGTGAGACTGGTGGTTGGGTGAAAAGCGAGCAGTGATGTTCATTTGAAAATGATTAGAAGATACCTAGAGTTTACCATTTCCTTCATTGGAATAGGTAATCAATTTAATTTTATTCCACAGAGCCGATTTACAATCACTGGCTTGGAATATTCTATGTAGGCTAATACACTCATTTCCATGATTTGGAGTTCTCACTAATGAGGCTGGAAAGTGTCTGCTGCGGCTATTGGGAAATTTTCCATATAGTGTCTAGTTTCTTCTTTTGATAACATGAAAGGGAGTGGTCAATGCCTCCAAAGATATGAAATGTTTATCAAGTAAGGGCTACAAAATTATAACCAGTAGGTACATATATATATATATATACACACACACACATATATATCTGTGTTATATATATAACATTCTATATGTTATATATGTATCTACAAAATTATAACCTGTAGGTGCATATATATGTATACACACACATTATATATGCAACATTCATATGTTATATATGTATCTATTCAATAGATATATATATATGTTTATATATTCGAGCTATGGTTTTGTTATTTTGGGAAACAAGAGAGATGATAAAGAGGAAAGTGAGACTTAGTCACACAAACCGTGCTTCACAGAGGCTAAGCTATATATTCATTAGACTGACATAAATTGCCATGGCCGAGGCATGCTGGAATAGTTGCTCACTCATATTTAAAGGCAGTGAAAACTCTCAGGGACCCTTAGTCAAGCTCTCTGCAAATCATACCCACTTGTACATGAAGCATAAGGAGGAAACCTAGGTTGGCACACATTTATTTTACAAGTGTTATTCATAAACAAGGATTTAAAGATGTATGTGTACATATTTATCTCTCTTTATGTATATATAAAATCTATATGTGAATATGTGAATGAATCTCTCTATATACATATATATATACATATGTGGGTGAATGAAATCATCCTGATGAAATGAACATATTTTTTAAAATTTAATGAATTAAAGAGAACCTGAATGTTAGCAATGCAATTTTCTGTTACCTATAGTAGTATCAGTAATTCTTCAATGATAAAACTATAGAGGGGAAAGCTTAAAGAATGATATATTAAATATGTTTATGCTCCCTTCCTCTTTTAATAGTACATCAAGTGTTTGGGCAAAATACAGAACAGTCATGGGTCATGTGAGTACTGCTCATTCCAGGAAGCCTTATCCCTCATCAAGTTTAAAACTTCAGGGAGCTGCCACTGGCTGAATGATGTATAAATTAATGCTATTCAGAAAAGCTTTAACTTGCACAGCTGACTTAGGAAACGTGTGACTACGCTTTCAAACTGGTCTCTGCGCCACTTACTGCTTTGAACCCTCCTCACTTCCCCCATTATCATTATCGCTTTCATCCCAGGCAGCTGAAATCAAAGGCCTTGGAGAAAAGTCCTGCTTAAAGCTATGGGTTGCTGAAAATGTGGTGTCTCCTTCATTTACCTTAGGTGAAAGTCCCTTAGTTTGGACCATTATGGATACATAAACCATATGGAAAATGAACATGCATTTATAATGCAAGTAACATTATTGTTTTTGTAATCTGCAAATACAGAGGGAAAAAAAAAAGTCCAGCTCTCAGGTCCCCAGGACAGGAAGGACTGCCAGCAACTGATGTGCGAAGGGCCAGCCAGGCTCCCTGTGTCTCACCCTCATTCCAGCTGCACTAGGCCTCCAAACTTAAAACCTGTCATATACAAATCTGTCTACTCTACTTGACTGATCTTCCTGTGGAGGGCTTGTGAGTGGGAAAATGAAAGGCTCAAAACGGTTTCCATACCTGATTGAGGACTTTGTTTGGGGATTTTGGCTACCGCTTGAGGGCTTGAGGTGGAGTGCATCTGCTGGTTGGCTGAGCTGTGGATGCCGCTGGGAGCCACCACGGAGGCATTCTTGCGAGGCTTCATATCCTGCAGCCACATGGGGGAGGCTTCGAAGGCCTGCATCCTCCGGGCATGGCTGTTGGGGTTGACTTTCAGGTAGGCCTGGGCCTTGTGTTCCTGAAGCTCTCCGTAGTTGGCATCGGTCACCCTGCACTCATATAAGCCTTCATCCTTTCTCCTCACTTTGGAAATCTGAAGCTTGTGAGAGATGTCATTGCCTTGGACTTTCACTGTCTGAAAAATTGCAGGTAAAAAGATAAGGTGCAACATGACATGACTTTGTTACCATACTTATTACTGACCTTGCTAATATTGGAAAATTAAAGGGTTTTAATGCCCTTATAGCCACAATCAGGGAGGTATTTATTTTCTCAATAGAGTAATCTGAAGGTCTTATTTATACCATTCTCCTAACAACTGGCTTCACAAAATCATGGAGTAATTAGTTCAAACCAGCAGGACCAGTTTCTGTTAGCCATGTGGTCCCCATTTCTCATGTTCTGGGAGCAGCTCTGCCATTTTCCAATCACGGAATTGGCCTCTGCTGATTAGCTCGTCTGAATGAAGCATGTACCTAAGGAGGCCAGGTTTATAGTTAATACAGCCTCTTTTCTTCACCATGGGCGTGGGAGACCACAAAAATATTTTGTCGGTCACAACAGAGTTTCAATGAGAATGTGCCTTTATCCCTACATTGGGATGACTGATAATGGTACTGACAAAATGGACTTGGGTATTGAAAATTCTTCTCAGCTCAGGGTATTAACATCACTTGAAGTTGCAACAGATCAGAGTACACACTGCTGGAGGTCTTTATGCTGCTGGGACTGGAGATACTATCAGTTGAACTCTAGTTTGACTGTCAAAAGTGAAATTGGCTCTCTTACTTTTTCTAATAATTTTATGCCAGATTAATAGCAAAATTATGTAATACATATGATTATGTATAATAAAATTCTGTATTCTGTATAAGTGTGTGTGTAAATATATATATATATATCCATAAGCATTTTTACTATAGAACAGTGAGATTTAAATACATAGCATATATTATCCATGAGTAACACAATGATGGATTTTGTAAGACATTTAGGATTTAAGGATTTGAATGATTTTGAAAGGTAGAGAAAAGTGAAGAGGGCAGAAAGTTTTTCTGCTACTGGCCACTACATTTTCAAATGGCCAAAAATAATTAAGAAAATTTGGGAAGTGTTCATTTAGTTTTTACATATAGAGTTGTATGTACAAATAGTTTTCAACACTTGAACCACAACCATATTTATGTGCATGCAAAATTATATATAAATGTACTATATAATACATACAACTGTAACTATAAAAATAATGGAAATTAATAGTTTCAAATATATTCTCAGCTGAGCCTCCTAATAACATTTGAGGTAGCCAGAGTACTGATTATTATCCTGTTTTACAGTAAACTGGGGTGTAGGAGGTTTGGGTCTGTGATTCTCAACATTGACTGTACATTAGAATAATCTGGGAGTTGTTAGAAATTACTAGTCTGCATCTCCAGGGGGCTAAGCTCCTATCAGCGTTTTATAAAAGCTCTCCAGGGGGTTCTAAGTTAACATCTGCTGGTTTAGGGCACATGTCCAAAGTCACACAGTAGGTAAATATGAACAAACTACTTTCTACCTCAATTTGCATCTAGGACTTTTTCTAATTCACCATATTTTATGAACTATTGGCATAGATAATCCTGTTAGTAGTTGTGGGTGTGATTGTGTATTTAAGTGTATGCTTTCCTGGGCCTGGACAGGAAAGGTTATTTTTGTTGCTGGTCTTTGGAAGATATGGGCATACCTGAAGGGTGAAAGATGGATGGGCAATAAACAGTCTAGTCATTTATACATGTATATAAAAAATGAAACATTTAAGAAAAATACTGTCAACAATTGATCTTACCAGTAAAGCTTCTAACATTGTATGAAAACAATAGTTTCTATTATATATGAGTCATTGAATTGAAATAGTCTAAAAAGTCAGTGAGTTTATGAAAATAAATGGAAATTTTTGGTTCATATCTTATTTTTGTTTGATATCTTCTTCCATGTTGAAATTATACACTTAGATCACAGAATTTGATTTTATGAATACAATATACTTTTAAACTTTTATTTATGTTGTAACCCCAATCTTACACCACTTTTTTGCTATTGTAGAGCATCAGAATACATTTACTTTTTAAGTAAAAGTCACTGGATTTTTAGATTCCTTAAACAAATGAATAAAATAAATAAGAGCATATATGTTCCTATTATATATTAATATATATGCATAAATATAACATATTAAGCTGGCAGACCTCATCCTTTATTATGTAACTATTTCATTTCTAGTAATATAAACTTATTTTTTATGAACAAGTTAAGTTCTATTAATATAAAGTGATTGTATGAGGCTTCTTTGAGGTAAAGAAGAGCAAGACTTTCATTTTTAAAAAAATTTCAAACACAATTACTAAAAGTACTAATTCTAATAACGCTTTTATATTTACACTGGCTTTTGGTTTTATGTTTAATTTTATGATTTTTGAACGTTGGCATTGCATGCATTAAGAATGACTTTGAAAACAGTTTTCATTACAATTTCAATATCCTATTGGATGCTTTAACTTCTTTTTGCCTAGATTTTCATGCGGTAGTGTTTTACTTCCTATTACAGAATAATTATTTCTATGATTTTTGAATAGATATTATGGTTGTAATCCTTACTTTTACAGTTACGTAATTGTTAAAGAGATAAAGAAAACAAGTGTCACACACCTCCTTGGGGAACAAAATGATTCTGTGGTAATTGCTTAAATATTTAAATGATTTTATTGTGTCAACTGTATATGTGGTTCAATTTTTATGTACCCGGTGAAGAAATCTGCCCTTGCCCTGCGTCGTGGAGCTGCCGCGTTCGGGGACGACAGACACACTGAGGGCTTTCGGGGCCCCACGCTCCTCAGCTCCTTTGCCCCACGGGCCGCGCGGCAGCTGCCGGGAGGCGCCCCCTGTCGCCTGCTGTCGGGATACTCACGCTGATCTTGGTCCCGTCGTTGTCCGGGTCTCGGTCGGGCACGAGCTCCACCTGCGGGAAGAAGAGGCGAACGCTCAGGCCCGGGACCGCAGACCCCGTTCCGCGCCGAGCCGCGCCCGCGGGGGTCGGCGCCTCGCCGGCGGGGCGACTCCCGGCGGGCACGCTGCCCAGGGCGCGCTCGGGGCGTCCGGTCGCGGGGAAGGGGAAG